TTTTTTTTTAACCAGTGTGACACATGCAAAAAGAAACTAAATATTCAAAAAGATCTTCAACATGCAAAACAGGGTAAAATACCACGTTGCTTCTAGCACTGGAGTAACCTTCCCTCTGTTTCAGGAGTTTTAAATCAAACTATACTTTGCAGGAAATATTTCCACACGCAGAAGGAAGCTGCAAATTGGGGATGTTCATTTCTGGGATAGAAAGAGTCACTATTAAATGATAGTTCCCAGGAAAGTAGCTCAGTTTTATTCAAGACTTGAGCAAATAATGACACTTTCTCACCCTAAGCAGGTCGAATTTAGGCTTGTAACTTTTTAGGGAGCTGAATGCAGGAAGTTGTCTTCATGGGCAGGTTGAATTCTGAAGATTATAAACAGCTGACAAGACCTCAAAGAATATTTAGTCTCATCAATTTAGCACAAGGTAGGAAAATACTCGTTGAAAATTTAAGTGAGAGAAACCTGCTCTTGTGTTCCAATAAAACTTATCTGAAAAAAATATAATGACTAGTAAAAAATTATGGAAAAAAATACAGACAGGGAAATCCAGAACAGTTTATTTTTACTAATCACAACTGGAAAGAGAAGCCAAGAGAATGAACTAACTGCTCCACTACAGATGTTTATCTCTAACACTTACTTGTACCATCTAATCAGCTGAACTCCATCTGTGATGTGTCACTCTCTTACCACCCATTAAGAAAAACAAACACAAAACCAGTTAACAGTGGAGCTAATTGTAAATGGAAAGTTCAGAGGGAAAGTATCTGGACTTCCAGGAGCTGCTCACAACCTCTCCAACTCGACTTCTAACTCCAGTTCTCAAAAAAAGTCCAAACAGTCTTTGTCACGTGTGTGTTCTGCGGGGTTTTTTGGTGAAAAATAAGAGAAAATCCCATGACACATTTTCAGTTTGCTCGGTGGAGAGATAAGAACATTGATAGGATCCTCCAGAAACCCTCAGAGTGGAACTGCATCATGGGGAGCAATTTCACAACGCAACACACCACAGCTACTAGTACTGTGTAACGAACCAGAAACCAGCAAGGAAACGAGGTCATAACAGTAAAACTGAAAGAGCAGAAATGGCAACTTGGAGGCAGTTATGTTAAAAAAAAAGACAAAAAGAAAAAGTGAGGTGAACACCAACTGTAGGGAGTCCTTACACCCTCAAAAAGTTGCCAAAACCTTTACACCTCCTCACCTGCTACAATCTAATGGCATTTAGTGTTTTCTGCCTGGAGAAATGCAGGTATGAAATAGCAAATTATCATGAGAAAATTGGAAAACACGGACAGGCAACCAGTGGAGATGGGGAAACACAAAGATGTCAAATTTGCCTTCGATTGAGCATGGCAGGAAGGCACCAGGCTCCTGGCAGGTACTGGTAGGTACTTTAACTCACCGGCCGGGCCTGGGGACTCAGGTAGGGTTCAAAGTCATCATCGTTTAGCCCATCCTTCTGATGCACCGAGCCGTTTTGCACTGAGGGGAAGATCGAGAGCGTTAGAAAGAACATGGATAATGAAACTGAATATTTACCAAGTTAAGACATTTAAAGACAGACCCTACAACAGAGCGATCGCTGGCTGGTTCAGAACACGCCACGCTCAGCCCCGCAGGGAGCAGAAAAACACTTCCCACCGCGCTTTAACCGCTCGGTAACTGCAAACTTCCCCCAGCCCCAGCAGCGATGTCGGGCTCCACAACCCACCGCTCCT